TTTGTCATCGCGGATCAACTTGATGCAGTCGTTTTGTTAAGCTGTGTAAACATCCCAGGTCTGGTTACTTGGACAGACTTTGTAAGCGCGCCAGGGTGAATCCCTTAAGCCCATACATTTCCTAGTACAGCTCTTCAGGAACGAATTCACTTTCTTCGGGTGATAGGCCTTACTTTCTGACGCATTTGCTACTAGCTCAGTGGATTGGGTGACGAACATCATCCAGGCGACATCGGGCGGCTTCTCGGTCAGGAAGTCCAGTCGGTTTCTTGAACGAAGTTGGACAGTATATCGTAATGTATAATGACATGGGTTTCCACGTTGTACTCACTGATGTACTCCGAGTAACGGATTTAACGAAAGAGCAACATCGCGCGATCATTACGACCAAGTGGTGAATCTATGGTCAAGGTGTCGACCATTAGTTCCTAGTTGGCGAGCACAGGGTCCGAAACAGAGGATGTCACCCGTTGGGAATCGCATGGTTTTACAGAGGTACATCGGCGATCATCTCTTGCAAATCCACCTTGAATTGTTCTCTGTGCGATGCTGGAACCGATTGCGTGCAGGTTGAAGTCCCCCACCAGAAGAACGTGACTGTATGGTCGCGCCAGGGCTCGTTTCATCGCAGACGCTAGGACCTGATCCATTCCCAAGGTGGACATTGGGGGCGGTACATTATTGCTAGTAAACGCACGTCACCACGTCTTAGGTGCATACGACACCAAAGGGAATCGACGAGTTTCGTTTCGGGGTCCTCAATGACATCACCATGTAGGTCGGATGGATAATACAGGAGCACTCTCTCTCCTCTGCTAGGCCGATCGTTTCGTATGGAAGTCATGCCGGGTAGTGCAATCTCAGTATCTGTGATCCCCGTGTTCAACCATGTTTCGGTGACCGTGACTGCGTCCGAAGGCGTGGCGACCTGACGAATACGAAGTTCGGTTAGCTTGCTGAAAAGACCTTGTGCATTGGTATACAAGCAGGTGAGGTCATCGATGGTCAGAAGCGTATTTTTTGAATACTGGTTTCCGGTGAGGGTCTATGCCGACCCTTGTGCGTCGGCTGCCGGTTGTTTTTTGTAGGATCAATGACGCAGGACCTAGGGCCAGTTCAGCTTCTTGTATGGAGTTCTCAGCGCGAACAAGAGGGTGACCATCCTGTACTCCTTCAGCTATCGGTATGTTCCGGCATTGTTTCCGTTCTGAGCTACACGGTAACAGAATTATATTGGGAAGTTGCTTGCTGAGTGTTACCTTGTTTATCTGTGGCCCGGTGCCTATTGCCTTTATACGTATTTCGGATGGCAGCATTTTACGCATTTTGTGCCATATTTTGATCACATGTTCTGCCATCACTTCGGAGTGTAATGATACTTTCATCACTCGAGTACAACACCCTTTGTAGTTAGGTGATAGGGGTAACCTTGATGTCGAATTATCGGTAACATTTTCGAGTGAGAGTACTTTACGCATAAAACGCCATTCATCCCAGCCATGCGCTTTGACCTCTAGCTCGCTTAGTGACCGGAGCTGTGAGACACCGTGAACAAGGATAGATTTTGCGTCTTGTTGTTTACGGAAGTCACCGGATTTTGTTTGCGTTTCTGGCGTTCTCTGCAAGGAACATCTGGAAAGATTCGAACAGTGTATGTGATGGTACGGATGAGAGTTGCTGAAAAGAAAACCGCCTTTGCATCATTACCTGACTGAAGTGTTACCTGGAGTAACCGCTGTTCACCGTAGTGTACGGAGTTTAGGTGACGCTTGTTGTCTTCTATTTCTTGCTCTCAGCTAGCAGTCACTTGGTTTGGGATTAACGTGCACTTGTTTGCCGGGTATATGTAATTCCATATCTACTTCATGTGCCTTTTGACGGCGTCGTAGGCAGTGAACTTTCTTAGTGTTACATCTCTCTTTACTCAGACATATCGCTTCTTTGTGTGCTCACACAAGCACATCTTAAGGATTTTGTGTTTATATGAAAGAACAAACAGAAACTTAGTTACTAAAGTTCAGGCTTTATTCTTGTACAATACGTCGTCCGCAGTGGGCAAATTCCATCTCTAAGCGCCTATGCTGTAATCAGGGGCAGAAAAACGTGAGAAAATTAGATTTCTAACCATGTTTTTGATTTTTACTTGGGTCATATTACCAACTCATGCAAGTTGTAGCAATTCGCCTGATAATAAGATTTGTGTAAGAAAGAAACCTGTAGTTCCGCATTAATATTTTTCTCTCTCCATGCCGATTAATGATACCCGTCCGTACCTATTGCATTTTAGCGCCTTCAGCTAAAAAGAAGGAAAAGGAAACTAAAGGGACAAACAACTTTTCGTTACTTTGAAACTGTTCCTTGTTTCACAGCGTTTGGGTTTCTACAAACCTTTTGCATGAAGCCACACTGCTAACTCCTTAGAATGCTTCCTTTTGCCTCTTGTGTGTGGTCGCACCATTTCGACTCTCCTATCTTTCTGTAATTATTAGCCCCAACGCTCGCATCACACTGTTGTGCGTACACTGACTCAACTCGGATTTACCAGTGGATCTAACACTACAGGGTTGTCCATTACTCGCCATCGTTACATTCGTTACAGCAATGGCAGCAGGATGTTTGCTGAAAGCTGCGCGCACATTAACCTCATTTTTCGAATGCGTAACATTCTTGTTACCCTGCTTCAAGACAGTGCTCTCAATGATATCCAACTATACCTATATCACATGAATTCGACTCTCCGCTTGGGAGCTGCAGATCATTTATCAGCTATTAGTCTAACACTTGCCAAACTAGTGCGAGTTCTACTAAGCTCGTCAACTCCTAACCAGCCAAACGGCCACTGCCTACAACAGAAAGCACGTGCTTTTCATTCATCGACTTTATTAGCAACTGTGGTCCCACTCGTAGGACATTACCGACTGATATCGTGTGCCCGTTCTAACATGCTCGATGAACGCTTATAACGAAAAGGCGATGGCAGTTCACCCATGTGACTGACTCCTCAGCATGGTTCGCAACACAGCGACAAGAAAAAAAGGTGTACGCATTTCACCTAGCACAGGACAAAAGTTCTTTTCGATGCGAACTCCTGCTACAAACTACTTGTGTTTGAATAATATTCTTCAACGGAAGTAAGCAACTTTATCCCAAGTGCGTAAATTTAAGTATAGCGCAAGTAGAATAACGACACATCACCTCAGACGCAACGTTGTTCAGTAGTGTATGGTCAACCCACTCGGAAGGTGCCTCGCTGTGCCGGCACAGAAATGTGACAAACTGGCAGCGGTTTTGCAGCGTACTATGACTGGTATAGCAGCCGCATCAGAACCATCTGCAACAGAACTCGACTCATGTTGCCCAAACTTAAGCCCAGTTCGGGAACACAAAGGCCAAAGCAAGCGTATGATTAGGAGCGTAGAGCCAGCCACCCTAATCACAATAGCTAACAAACAGGCAGACAGCCAGGGTCTGTTAACCCAGCGACTACAATCACGGATATCGTGGCTTTTATCGGGTGTGTGTCTGTGGTAAATGATAATTCTTTGCACTGGGGTTAATCTGGCACCACCGATAGCCTGAAAACATAAGTAAACCTGGTGTCTACATGCGTAACCAAAGGGAATTTTTCGGTCACATCTGCAAATGCCCCAAGGTGAAATGGAAGTGACACGAATACCAGTGCACTTCTGAAAGTCCCTCTACCACGCCGGCGGAGAAAGCAAAAACGCTCTGATCAAAGTTATGAGCACTAGGAGGACGCAGCAATCAATGAAGATAATACTTTCTAAGGTGTCTGGGTCAAAGGCAAATTTACCAAACACAAACCACTGGACGAGATGAAACTATAGTAGTCCACATGCAAATCAATGGGTATCGAGGGTAACCAGGTTAGTTTGGTTCGCATCGACCGCCATCCAAACGCAGTAGACTATGGCATGCCAAGGTCATTTCAGATGGCACTTCAATCGGGTGACGAAATGGATGCCACCCTATTTTCACCTCGCCGTTTTCCTGCTTTGTCGTGCGATATTCGTATATTCTCCGAGATCCATTGGATTGAGCGTCAGTAAGGGAAGCAAAGCACAGCAGACTACCGCAAACAAAATGACAGAAGATCCACTTTTGTCTAGGGTGTTCCCGAATTCAAATCTTTCGACGAATCACAAGCCAATGACTTGGATGAGTGGCGCTGCATAACGAAGCCCACTCTCTCCACAGCGTCGTTGCCAACCCAGCGTCAAGGTCACCCATCTCTCTCAACTATAAAATAAGTGATCCAAAATGTTAAGTTGCTGCTCCACTCCATAAAATTGGTTAAAAGGGTGTTCGGAATTTAGCATACGTCACGAACTGACCAGCCATCAGGAATACGCCTGAAAGGCGGTCGAATCCAGACCATCGTTGGCTGTAGGAACAAAAATACCATACTTTTGTCGCTGTCCCTGCTGTGGTTCTCATTCCTGTTAAGTGTCTGCTCTTTCGCCCGTAATATGACATTGTTCTATTTTTCCATATATTTCTGAACCGGATTGCAAATCTCCAGTCATCAGCAGTGGAAGAAATGAGCCATTCGATTTTGAAAGATTTGCTTAGCAGTGTTCGGTGCAATAGCTCGAATTGGTCGCGGGCGGCATGCTAGCTGCACGTCCAAAAACGGTTGGCAGCCGGTCCCACTCCTCATTATGAGGTATCATTCTTGGGAGCAGCAATATCCAACCACGCTTGTCATCATCATGAAACTCATACAAAACACATCTCGGAGCCTTATCGGTTTAAGTTAGCCACGCAGTACAACCAACCGGGATGTCGACGAAGTGCGCGTCCAGCCCTGGAACTCTCTCAATTGCATGTTATTAATTCCCCCCACCTCATCAATATTCAGAAAACACTTCCGGTACCCTGACACATTTACACTATGTGAAATATCCTATGACCATCAGATGATGACCTTAGTGTCGAAAGAACAGCGCATGGTATTACTTTCTTTGTAAAATCCGGTTGGAAACAATCACACATGAGCTTCTCCGAACCTCGGTGAGTCACGCATCTCGCACTTTACTTTACCTACAATGTTATTACCGTGTAATTTTGACCCCAGGAATCCTCCGGGACTTGTCACACATTCGCTTTCTCCCGTGTTGTTAACCAATGCTTCATTGTGAAGTATAAATTGCGACCAAGTCACCTTATTATTTATGACAATGGGCATATTCATGAGCATGGTTTCAAGAGCCACCTGACCCACCTGTAGTGGTCTCCGCATTCCAAACCAACAGAATTGTATCCACTAGAGTGATGTAGCCGTAAATGTGTCCTTTAACTTTCTAACTATGTAATTGTGCATCTAATTGCCCTTGCCATTTTACCAGCTAACTCGGTTCGTTATGATCAAGTCTTCTTGGGGGTTGTTTCTCACTTATGCAAGAACCGTGCGCCTTGAAATTACTATGGCTTATAGTCAGGCCACTTCAAGTAACACTTCCTGATCTCTCAGCCGCTTTCTAGCTGCTGCTTCACAGACAAAAGTTTTGAAACTCTAGTCTTTCTACGTTTAAAACAGACTACACCTTAATGCTAGTTTTCAGAGTACACGGAACTTCTGTAAATTTTCTTTACCCAACATCTGCTGTTCTACTCCATGTTTGCTTGTGTTGCAGAGTTCGAAGAATCGATCGTTGTTCAGTGCATACTTGTATTGATCACGAAACCTATTTATAGCCCTCTCACAAGTTGATTGTTGGAAGCTGCACACACAAAGTCTGATATGCTCCAAGAGTTGTTGCAGCTCCATCTTATTTTCGCCGTCGCCGTTGCGGCCCCTACCACTACACCACCGGCAACTGCCCATTTTTCAACGGCCTCTACGCCGTCAACAAGTGAAGTTATAGCATCCACAAACACGACTGTTCCTGAGAATTCAACCGCCACAGGGAGTACCACATTACTTCATTGGAGACATGACTTTCCATCCGCCGCTCATAGGGTGCGTGGTCGCATAATCTTGGCTAATACACGTGCCGAGGGTAGCGAGGACTGGGGACTGACTGCGGAGGAAGCAGAGATAGCATGCGACCGTATTGCGAGATACCAGTCGGAATTCGCTCCACACAACCTTCTTAGCGCAATCGTGCGGAGGTTACTCCCGAGAAGGCGAACATTGAAAGTTCCACCCATGGAAGGACATCTTCTCTCTGTTGGCTCAGGGCAAGAAGTGAGTAACTGTGAAGTGAAAATATGGCTTTCGTTTTTCTCTACGTACGTTTCGTGTCACCATTTGCGTACGAAAGGGGGATTCTTTGCTGTGCATTTTATGTAGGTTTTCAAGATTAGAAACCCTGAGTCCAATAAAATTAAGGTAGCATTTTTGCTGGTGTACTTTTCACTGGAACCAAACTGGTCCTCCATGCTTTCCGTATATAAGTATGGAGATTGCCCCGAAGAAACCAGTATGACCTCATTTAAGGTTCAGCAGTGAAGCATCTTTGGTTAGTATCCGCGGACAAAGGGCAAACATGTAAAGCAATTAGTTCCCTCCTTTAGCAATTTGAAAAGCGCGAGAAGATGGACACTGGTAGATGCATGCATTTAGTAATATCTCTTCAGTACAATAACCAATGTGCCTAGATACAGCCAAGATTGGATGTGACCAGACATGCTTTAGGCGCTTAATAAGTGACGGACGTTCATAGCCATGTCCATGACAGGCGTAAGCTGACAGCCTGAGATGATGTGAATGAGATAGAAGTCTATTCTGAGAGTATTGCACACAGTGGATAGGGGGATAATCTTTCACACAACCACCAACAAATATTGTCACTAGAACTAAGGGCTGTGAGTAGGTGTATACGTGCCACAAATAAATAATTAGGTAAATGGTATAATTTTCATCGGTGCCAGACGCAAAACAACTACGTTGTCTGATCATTATATACAACACAATCTGATGATAGTGAAAAAGTCATGTTTTATAAAGTAGGTCCCAGCGAAGATTTTGCAGTATTTAACTATTCAAAAGTAATGAAAATACGGAAGTAGAGGGTAGAAATAAATGTAGGCGTAGCCAGCAGTTCAAGTAGTTCAGGTAAAATAATACGACTATCCGAGGAACCGTCTCCTGGAGACCCGCTCACATGCGGAGTAGTCTCTCGGGAGGTTTCATCCGCACCTCCACTTCGCATCTGGCCATGTACTGATGCGTTTTAAAGGTAAGTAAACCATTTTTATGTTGACTGGGCTTTTTAGGCCTTTGTTGTAGGCAATAGGCCGTGAACATGTAGACTCCGTTTTCGAGTCCAGCACATATTTTTCTGGTCGCTGGGTCGGTGGCAGTTCGCCCTGCGTGTGTGCAATAATTTAGCTTGGAACTGGTTCATTGCTTCAAAAAGCTCGGCCCAGTCGTGACCAACCATGGAAATAAAATCAAAATCATGAAATAGAAGGAAATCGAAGGAAAGCTACAATAAGTATATGTTATACGCTCCTCTAGAATAAAATTTCGTCTGGCGGTTGTCTGTTTCAGTTTGTACAAGTAGCCGTGGGGGACAAGTAAATAAATAAATAAACGCAACATAAACCTTTGTTCTCGGCCGTGCGTTCGAAGTATTTATGAACAGTGCAGCTCCTGAAAGCTTTTCGGTTGGTTCCACCAAGCGAAGCCAATCGAAAAGATAAGAAATGTAAATTGAACTGGATTTCCCGGCATCCGCAAAACAGCGGCGTATACCTAACGTGTGTCCTGGAAAGGATAGAAGTAAATTAGTAGTATCGAACGAATGCAAAGAAATAAGGTGGAGCAAATAAGACAACTTGCGTCTTGATAAGTTTAAACGTAACGCCCAACACAACTCACAAAAGATCAGGGAGCGTTTTGAACATGGAGCCTTCTCAGGAGATTCAGAGCTACTGACTGCAGTAGGTGTGAGGCATCAAACAGTTCCACAAAATGTCTAAACCATCAAGGAACGGACTGCGAGTGACGGCATTAATTTTGTTTGCCGAGATGTGCAATAGCCAGAGTCAGCGGAAACGTGAATGAACATCAGGTATCTTGGCACCATCTCAGTCAGATGACGCTGTTTGTCAGTAGCAACTGAATCCGCGTTGGATGAAAGAAATCAACACACGTGCAGAGGCACAACGAACTAAGTGAACTACTTTCCTGCTTATGGCAATTACAATGATAGTTAAACCTTTAGCTGAGACTTGCGTATTCTTTATTCCACCGTTTTCTAACATATCGTCCTTGTTTGCCCCGAAATAGACGTGTGTACTCGCACTTCCCGTTCTACTGAAGATTTCGGTCAAGCGCGAGTTTCAGCCATTAAGTAAATCGGCCCACTGCCTCTGCCAATGTCAGTGAGATTAAGGTTTATATTGAAATGCGAAATGTTTTGAGGCGCGTCTTTCGTGGTAATGTAAGACTGAGTTAGTGGCCGCTTATGGTAACCTATGCTTCAATCACCTTGAAGTTTTCGTTAGCTCAGTTCTGTCTGTGATGCATGTAGACCCCTAGAGAAAGCAGCCGAACAGCAATTCGAACCATCGTGCACCATTGCTGAGATTGAATAGCAGTACTTACCACCTGATATTTCGAGTGTCCACATGGAGCCTATAATTGCTTGCGTCGATTGACGAAACAATGAACTTACCCATGAAGATAGGGCTAACCACTGATTCGTTGACTTAGAAAAGCACCAACTAGTCTGCATATCAGAGAATGTGTCCCCGAATTGTGGGTGTTACCATCCAAATCATAGGTGTGCATAAATTTCGTCTCGGAAATCATAAGCGTTAATGGAAGTGGAAGTCGATTAGTGTTGTCTTATGAGACCTGCCAGTTGATTAGAGAGTGTTCGAAAAGAGATGTAACAGACCGAAATCCTTGGCAACGCTTTGAGGTCACTAAATGGAGCTTAAAATTATACTTACCTTTTCGTTTTTAGTTAATATGTAGAGAAGCTAGAACAAATATTCGCGTCTAAAGCAGGGCCAAAGCAAGTTTTGACGGGAGTCGTGCGTGTTGTATGAATATCGGTGATGACGCCTGAATTAATTTATTATTTGCCGATATCTAACCCCACGGAAAATGCTGGCTGAAACACTGGAGCCCACGGAACTCACTGTACTCATACGAATGTGTCTGTGTTCCATTAGCTTCACAGCTCACTCGCTAGCCGCTATCTGGAACAACCCTAGCTCAATTACATCATCCGTCTTAGCACTGAATGAAATACATCAAAGCAGGGGGTGTTTGAACTATAAACATCTTTCAGGGGCTCACTGAGTTAGCGTTTCACAGTTGGATATGAGTGTTAAAAGAAACCTAGACTGATGCAATGAATACCCTCTTAGTTGCAGGGCACGGACGTGCTTACGACCCAGTTGCGCGGTTGAAATGTTGCCCATAAACGCTCATTCCGAATCAGTGGTATCAACCGATGAAACGACGTCTTTGCACTCAACGTAAGGTATCTGCAAGATTCAAACTGCAAGTCTCCGTTTTGGACGCGCAATCAAAAGGGGCACTAGGTATTGGAGAATGCAACTTACATTTCTCATCAGTCAGTGACCCCAATAGCATCCATGCTATGCCATTTCGTACGATGAGTACATTAAACCTTAAGTGAGGATATAGAAGCAAAGATAATACTTTGATCTTATCCATTTTCGTGGTAAATTCCTCTGGCAGCTCAGCAGGGCTAAGTTGTTCAGGACAATTCAACGGGAAGTACCGTGCTTAACGGTCTATAGTGGTCAGTCCCTATCAAGTTTGTGGAACCTGTATGATCTCTTGAGTGAGCATTTCTTTTGATGACCAGTCACCTACTTTTTGTGAGAGTAACGGGAATTTTATATTATTCCATACACGTCATACCGAGCAGACAAGGATAGCTTAACGGACGCTTCGACACACTTAAGGAAGCTCGCTGTCCCGCCGGTTTCAATTTTGTTTTATTTCATCATCTCGTCGACGATAACTGACAACTGTACTGTTTTACAAACCCCAAATAGAAATCACTTATAGTTCCTCTTCAAAGAAACGCAGAGGAAGGTCGCTTCGGAATGCACTGGGGGAAGGTTTACGATTTTAGCACATTTTTTGAGTGCACTTAATTATTGAATGCCAAGTGCGTTATTGTTGGGACGTGTACGTGACCTTATTGATTAGGACCTTCTGGAGCGGATCAACCAGTTCCGTTACAATTGATTCAACGCTGAGTAATCGGTTAGATTTATTGATAGTTAATCCAGTAAATAATTGTTTATCGACAAGGAAAAGTTATTGTTTGCTGACAACAGGGTAGATTATTCCCGCGGAGAACAAGCTAGAAGACCAACACATAAGTAAATTAATATGGAACTAATGTACAGCCTCCAAAGCTACCACATTGCAGTAAATCGTTTTCTCCGGAGTAGTTATACCATGGGGAATTGATGGACTTGGTATTACCTGAACATAATGCTTCAAGGGTTTGGTTTAGCTTGATTTCGTCGCGTTGCAGGCCGCTGCTATATCAAAGTGGAACCGAAAATTGTAGTGGCATTTTAATGTGGTGATCTATAGTGAAACTGTATGGATCGCTTCAAAGTCACCGCCAAGAATGAGAGGTTATCTTGTTACACATTCTGTGGTTTATAACACATATACATATAATCTGAACTTTGTACTTTGCACAAAGTGTCAACTTGAAGTTTTCTTTCTTTATGGTTTCAGGTGTTAACACTTTCCCATCTGTTGTCTCCCCTCCCAAGTGGTGCTTACTGGACTGGCGGAAAGCTGGTACGATATAGGGTGAACAGCATGAAACGAAACACTTTTAAGGACCACATTGTTTTGACCTGGTCAGATGGACGCGTCGGTCAACCCAGTGTTTTGGGTATGACCAGAGAGGACGAAGAAAAACTTCGAGAAGGGTATAATTACTGCCTCGCTCTTAATCTTGCAGACGCAGCATGGCAAGCCCGGGACTGCGCCGATCTCTTGCCTTATGCGTGCGTTATCACCCCAAGGCAGGTGGGATTTTCAAATGAGGCTGAAGGTAAGGTGACCCCGTCATTTACCAGCACTGCATCAACTCTGAGCACTGAAACAAATAGTGCCGAGGAAACAACAACAGAACCGTCTACAGAAGCAACCACAACAACCACAGTTCCACCACAGGAGACTACAACTACAACCGGAATTCAGAAGGCACCAAATACGGAGAAGGTGACATCAATCGCCACTAAGTTTAGAACAGCAGCCGCACAAAACGGTACGTCAACCGTGGCACTATTGGCAGCTGTTCAATCAAACAGCAACATGACTAGCACCACATCGTCCGGTGGAGCAACCGAAAGCTCCAGCACGTTGTCGGGGAGCAAACTCTTGCAAGAAGGGGTGATTGCAGCTGGTATCACAGTCACTCCAGAGGAAAATGGAACAACAACCGTGGTCACAATATCGACAAAAAATGAAAGTCAAGTTTCAGGACGCAAGCAAGTAGCCGAAATCTCAGTGAGATCTGGAAGCACAACCAATTCAAGTGAACCCACTGAGCCAATGCTGAAAGTTGCGGGCGGTCTTCTGCAAGAAACAGCAGTCGCAACGGAAACCGGGTCACCACAAGCCGGCTTCACTACTCCAGTCACAGTTGTTGGATCCACGGAAACAAGTGAATCGATTTCCGCTCCAGCTGCAGCTGAGTCCGTAGCAGTAGAGCCCGTAGAACAACAGCAGAGCTCGGAAGGGATCTAACGATTAGATTTGCTACAGTGGTGTTTCATTTAATAATCTGACTTCCATAAGTAATGAATTTGAAGGTGTTATAATATCTTAATTTGCTACCAGGAGAACAAAGCTGTTTAGTGATTTTCGTACGAGCTATAAGCATTCTATTCCTGTCATTGGTTGACATCATTGGTCCCAATCTAATACAGCTCCAGCTCTAAATAATCGGTTTGGCCAGAAAATTCCAAGATATCAGTGTCAACATTTGCCTTCAGAATGACTGATTGGTCCCACAATTAGCCTCCGGTTTTACTGTGTGGTTCCAATACATCAGATACTAGACTAATTCTTGAAGTGAGCCAGCAAAGACAAGTAACTACTTCCACTAATGTGCCAGAACTTGCTTTGTTGGGTCCTTGTAATCTGGTCGATGGATCACACACAAACATTAAAAGGACGCAAGTCACACGTTCTGGAATAGTCCGAAAAGGTTTACGTTCACCTGAGCTATTTGCAAGCAGGCAACTGAAAACCGGCGCTGGTGGAGTTGAAGAAGGAAACTGGAAACAAGGCGCACTCTACCATCCTTGCGAATTCGGTAGCGAAACAAAGCAAACAGGCGCTACGGTGCTTCCAACAAACAACGGCTGATTAGAGGGATACACACAGAGATGAATTATTGCACTGAGACTTGCTGATGTGGCGGGAATGGCAGACTCGTGATATCAAACTTGGAGTATCCGTCTACCTTTTGACAAGCACCGTTCCTAACAATTGAAAAGAAGGCACGGAAGTGACTGGAATAAGGTGTGTTGTTGCGACTTACAATGGTCCCGTGTATTCGATAAAATATGACACCGGACGACGCGAATCTATCTAGGGAAGGATTTGAGGGATCACTCGACGGAGCGGCGTGTTGAATCCAACCGTGGCGCGGTGTATAAGTATTGGTTTGTGTAGAGTCAGACAACCAAATTCAACATACACTTTAGTAATCTACAACCAGTAAGTGTCAACTAAGGTGATAAATTAATTTGGTATTTTACCCAACATACTCAAACAAACAGTGCGAATCTCCAGATCTCTACAAGGGGGATTTATTAGCAGTGGGGAATAGCAGATGAGAAAGTACATACAGAAATAAGAATGAAACGCAATTAGAATAGCACCGACAGCGTGGCAAATCGCTCAGTCTGTTAAACCAATGGTTTATGATCGGTCAAAAAGCATGGGTTCAATAATTCTCCTAGATTGGTATTGATGTAAGATGGCCAGTTCTGTTTGCGGGCCAAAGTGGGACGTTTAACCCAACTGCGCCGTTGTTTCAGCATATGCAGACCGTACAAAAAATTGAAAAACTATGTACCTACATGTATTGCTTCACTGCAACAACAAAGAGCACTTGCGTCCTTAGTCATTACACTGGCTGCGGTACTGAAGTTGATATGCTGATTGACATTGTATCAGCTGGGACCACAGTTGTAGAGCAATAATAAAATAATAATAATAATAATAATAATAATAGGTAGGTTGCTCATGGCGTGAGAAACTGTGTCCATATTGGACAGAATATGTCATACTCATGCATGAGTGGCAAACAGTTGTGTGGTTTGCATTGTCTTTACTGTTTAAGTTGCATGTATTCACTCACAGGTGTGTTTCAACGCAATGTACACTACAATGAACAGTGCATTTATACCGGTTAAGAAGCGTTGCTTTACAAGTCACGTTGGAGAGTTGGTGGTGATCTCGGAATAACACTAATGATAATAATGATGGTAAAACAGTTACTACATTAAATATGAAAATAGGAACATATCGTTTGCTCCGCTGTAGTCCTGCGATCCGCTTAGATTCGCAGCACCAAGTTAACATCAAATAATTTCATGGTAAACTCCAGGTGTAGGGTGGAGACGTAGTGCTAAGTGACAAAGTGTAAGTGATTGAGTGCATCTTCCAAGCGACTTTTAACTACTATTAGTGTCGGTGCGGTGACGACCGCTTCTGGGATAGCATTCCACGTGTGACAGACACGAATGGATAAGAAATTTCTGTTGCAATCCAGACGGCTATACTGTACAATAAATTTCAATGTGTGGCCCCTCAGGTTTGTATTGCTGCTAAGTTGCAGTCAACGGAGGCACACATGGTGTGGGTCTCGCAGAATCAAGTATGCCAAAATCAGGTCGCCAAGTAGCTTCCACTGGTATGAAAGATTGCGCATCTCAATTACGTTCTCAGATGCCCAACGTTGTGCCTTTTCCAATGCACTAAGGTCGTGTTTCAGACATGGATGCCAGGCTTGAATTGCGTATTCGACCTGGGGGCGAACATATGAACTGAGCATTTGTCAATATATGGAACTGTTTATTTGTCCAAACGCCCGCCGCAACAGCCCGATGTGTTGGTTCCCGGTCTTCGACGCCTTTTCGGATTGCCTGGAACAACCCAAGTCATCTTAAACCAGCACAACCAAGTCACGTTCGAGAGTTGATCGTTGTAGTATATTCGTAGTAGATGCTCTGATGTCGGATGGAAGCACCTTGCATTTACTGACATTGAATTGCAGTTAGTTTTGGGCTGACCATTGATGCACCGTATCTACGTCACTCTGAAGCACATGTCAGTCGGCGTTCGCCTGGATCCTGCGCCAGATCTTAATATCGTCGGCAAACATTAGGAAGTTTGAAGCGATTTCCTGTGCAAGGTTATTAATAAACACCAAAAACAAACGTGAACCTAGAACCGAGCCTTGCGGCACAACACGCTCGACTTTTATGGGTCCTGATAAAGAGCTCCGAATTCTGAACACTAAGTACCTTTGAAGTAGAAAGTTGGCAATCAAGCTTAAAAGAGGGTTGCCGATCCCCTAATGTTGGAGCTTGGGGAGTAGTATCCGATGGTCTAGACGATCGAAAGCCTTGGAAAAATCCAGGTAGATACATCAATACCTTCACCAGCGTCAGCTGACTCGGTCCAGCTACTGCCTGCGATCAGTAAATACGTTGTGTATGACCGCTGTCGATGGAAGCCGTGCTGCTCAGGCGTGATGAGGTTACAGTTTTCCAGATAACACATCAGTGCATCGGCAACTATGGATTTCATGACCTTGGAGAGTATAGGAAGAAGAGATACTGGGTGGTAGTTGGAGGGATCAGTTCTGCTTCCACCTTTGCGAATCGGGGTTATTATTCTAAGATTCCACATAGCGGGGACTTGATTTTGGTCTAAGCAGTGCTGAAAAACTGAGCTAATGGTCCAGCGAGTTGGCTGACTGCTGCTTCCAATGCCTCTGGACGAATGGTGTCAACACCTGGCGAGCTGTGTTTGCGTAGAGACGTCGGCTTTTACAATATAGCCTTCGAGGTAAAAGTGATGTGACTTAGTCTTGGCGAGGGGACTACCAAGGTTGGTATGTCGCTTGGTTGCAAGACCCTTTGAAACGTGGGGCCTTTTTCCATCCCACAGCTTCCACAGCCGTTCTGAGTGTAGAAAATACTTGCCTCAGCTTTCCTAGGTTATTGACGTGCTTGTACAGCAGTTTGTGGTTAGCACTGAAGGTTTTTACAATGTTGTGCTGATAGGCAATTTTGTCTTTTCTTAGCAGTTGTGTGCAGTGGTTACATTGGGCTAAGTAATTGTCCAAATTTTCTGGTGTTGGAGCTTCTCTGTACACTTGCCATGCTGCGTTGCGTACTGTCATCCATTTTCGAGTTCTGCTCCTAACGAAAGAAACTGATGTACACGTATTACAAACTTATCTCTGAAGCCTTTGCAATCAGCTGACTGAATTTGTTGACGAACTCGAGCCAGGTGACTTCCGGGGGTTCTTCATCAAGTAACGACCGAGTTGTGGCGCTGACGAGCTGGGCTAATCGATCGTAGCTTGTGATGGTTCGCACAGCCTCACGTTCTCATTCCGATATTCTGCATAGCAGACGAAGCTGAAACTGATGACTGCGTGATCACTGCGACCCAACGGGCAGTCTAAAACCAACAAATCAATCATATGCTCCTCGTTGGTAGGCACAAGAAACAACACAGATAACCTGTTATCTGTTCTGAACCGAGTGGGCAAAGTGATTTGATCGTAAAGAGGAACATTGGTTGCGAGGTCTTGTAGATCGGTTTTGAATTGTTCTCCGATCTTGGCAGGGGTTTCGACACAATGTACGTTGAAATCACACATGACAAGTATGTGTGTACTTTTGTTGTAAACTGCATCTTAAAGCAGCCGCTAGGTGGTAGTCGTTATCAAATGTAAAGTTAGGGTGGCGGTACACCGAGGCAATAAGGCAAGCGTCCCTGCCTTTTAACTGCAAGCGGCACCAAAGAGAGTCGGGGAACTGGGAGTCTGAATCCGTCACGTGTTCGCACTGTAAATCGTTTCGGTAATACATGATTACCCCTCCTCTTTTTGTGAGCCTGTCGTTCCGGATCAGCCCCATGCCCGGTAGTGAAATTTCAGCGTCCGTCATTCCCGTGTGCAACCACTTCTCGGTGATACCAATGACATGATATGACCCGGAAGCTTGGCGATCTTTCAGTTCGGCCAGTTTATTAAATAGACCCTGAGCATTCGTATACAAGCAGACAAGTTTTTCTGTCTAGGAGCCCACAGAGAGGTGAAGGGGTCAAGTATGGGAGAATGCTGACCGTTGGGAGGTCAGCAATTGCTTTTTGATGGGATAATAATACATTGTTTACAACTTGATTCGGCCAAGGTGCGTCCCAAGTTTTGTTTAGATCTACGTCAGAAGCAACTAAAGCAGCAGTCAAGTTACGCTTCTGTACATTCGTCGGCATGTTTGCTGCTTCAGGTGCTTTAGCATTTGAGCTGTGCAAGGCTTCTGCGACCTTTAACCGAAGTTCAGAAGGAAGACATTTCCGATTTCTCCGCCATCGATCCAAAACATCCATTGCTTGTTGCTCTGATTGGATCACAAATTTTAGGATTCTAGGGCCGCATCCTCTATATTTTAGTGAGAGAGGTATCCTGGTGAGCGATAGCGCTACAATATTATTCAAAGAAAGATTGCACAAATAAACCGCCACTGTTCTAAATCGTGCTTTCCGGTCTCTTAAACATCTTTAGAAAGATGTTCTGCCACGCCATGTATGAAGATTGTGTTTAGGCGATCTTGCTTGCTATGCCCCTCTTCGTTGTTGCTTTTTGATTGGGGGATGGTAACAGCACTAGGTGTGTATCACATTGCGTGAACTTTTTTGCTTCCCCCATCAGATGTTATTTGGCAGTTATTGGAACAAATAATTAAGTGATCTCTCCCAAGAGAACAGGGCCGAAATCGTGTTCAAGTCTGGGTAATTAGTGAGCTTTACGCGAAAGGACGTTGCGCTCTCACACGATCTAGTTGCAACTGAGAGCTTATTCCACTAGACAGCATACCTGATGAGGAAAAAGTTGGACCGCAGATTTACCCTGCACCTGGGTACACTCAGGGTAAACTCCTAATTGCGTAGCTCCCTTGTCGAACTATGCTGTAGTTCTAGTAGATCTGGGCACTGCATCAGCATGTCATGAAGTCATTCTTATGGATACCCGGTGCACTTGTCCTCAAAATCGCATTTAATTATGAGCATCACTTTCAGTGTTTGAACGCTAATCTGCATTTTCTCGCTTCCCCATACAGGGCTTATGTGTGAGAACATTCTTTTTGTGGGTGCATTTGTACCAAGAAGACAGAGAATAAGTCCAACAAGTTTTTGTATTTGTTCACAAGGGACCGAGTTGGCCTGGAAATGATAAAACACTTCTAGCCACCGTAGCTCAACCTCTATTTATTTACAGCTCCAATCGGAAATTCGGTTGGCTGATACAAATGCACACACGTTTTTAACTTCGTCAACCAGCTCGTTGTCATTGATTTCCAGGTCTGTGAGTATGGATTCAAAAGGACTGACGCTTGCTTCGACTTTTCCCAAGACGGTGGTTGTTTCAATGCCACCTAACTGAAGCCACTTAGTTCTTGAAATTGGTTCATTCTTGTCGTAGAACCTGGTGATGATATCCCTCACATCTGCTTTTCTGATGAGACGCGTTTGCTCGAGCTAGCCAATTCAGATTTTTAATTCGTTTGGAACAAAGCTGTTTCTGCTCCTCTCCCTGCACTTCTGCAGGAGTTCGTACATTACAGACGACAGTTCCGGCGCTAAAATATATTGTTCCTCGATTTTAAGTACAGTAGCGTAAAAATGGCACATATGTTGAACAATGAACAATGATTTATCACGGGATAAAAGCAAGTGCTTGACACGTCCCGTAGGATGGTTGAGGTGAATATGATGAAATCAAAATATGTCTGGGTCATCTATCGAACGTCTGCCGAGATGAATAGTTTGATAAGTAACATCAGTGTAAAATTAAAATAAATTATCGAGCGTAAACGTTCAGAAAGACACTGGGGTGCAGTGATCATTGAGGTAAGGAGTGAGAAAAGTGAAATATGGTCGCTCACTTAGGTCCATTTGATACATAAAT